ACAAAAACAAGATTGACAACTTCTAGTTTCTAAACTTTAGACTCTGTAGTCAGCAGTTTTTTTTCTACAGGAATAACGTGTTGCCTCATTAGAATTTCTGTTACATTGCCGAGAGGAAAGAATCACACAACGTAGCTGCTCGTGTTAATTCCCGAGTCGAACTTTATCGCTATTTATTAAAATGATAAAGTACAGTAAATGAAAATTAATCTGTATTTAATCTACATGTAAAGCTTACTTTTACGTTTTTCTTCCACCGTTACATTTTTTTCATTATTCTCCGTCTGAACCGGGAGAATTTTAGAAAGCGGGCGTAAGAAATTGTCGTCCTAAATAAAGCGAGCCGAGTGAAAATGATCGGCAACCAAGGATAGATCGGATAGTTATACTTGTCTCGCAGATAGAAGAAAAAAAGGAAAAGGCTTGGACTTATAAGGGCAGACTCGGTCACGTTGGTCTCAGCCAGCCAATGTGTAAATACCTTATTCGATGGCTACACGTTAACCTCATTATCCATGCACACGTGCTCTCTGAATCCCATGGTTCCACTCACTCTCTCTCTCTCTCTTTCTGGCCACACCAACGCGTAAGACGTATGTACGTACGTACATTGAATAAAGTTTAAGTCTCAATACAACAGCACCGTTGTTTATTTAAGCTTTCCAACTGCGTCGTTTTAAATAAATGAACGAATACAGCATAGTATACTATACATACATATGTAAATACTTACGGTTTTTTTCGACGGGTTCCTTAGAGTTGTATCTTCGAAAATAATTCTAACTACTAAGAAAAAAAAAGATACTAAATATTATTTGACTTTGTACGTATGTGAAAATCATTTCGCTCTTAATCCTAGTATATTAATTGCAGGATGATAACACCTGGTACAGGTCTCGTTTAAATAAAATAATTATCTAAAAAAAATAAAACATGATAATTTTAATTATAAAAATATGATAATTATAAAAATGTGATAATTATCTAAAAAAAAATTATAATTAAATATGACAATTATAAAAATATGATAATTATCTAAAAAAAATTATAATTAAATATGATAATTATCTAAAAAAAAGTAAAATGGCGTGATCTTCATAAAATCTAAAATACATATGGACAAAAATTTCATATACAGACGAGCAAGAATTCCACGAAAGTTCCAAGTTAAAATTCTGCGGGCATTCTCACGATGCAAAGATCAGGGATCTGGATATCTTTTGGTACAAAACGTGTACATTTTTGAGACACACCGGTTCAGTCATCCAAAATCTCGTCACGAACAGAACAATGTAAGTACATACATAGCAACATTCTTATTTCTTCTGCGCCTTGTCTACGCTTCCAGAATATATTTTAGCTGCTGTCACTAATAAAAGCTGCTGCACTCACGGCTGATAAGCATTCGCAGCAAAACGTAACGTAAATTCATCATTCGGCATTGCATTTGTGTTTCTTCGTGTAGAAATAAAAATGTTCCACTTTCTCTTATGAGAGACACACTGTAAAGCCCCGAAACAGAGTTTCATCCGAGACTTTTATCTCCTAATAGACCAAAAGTTTTGATTTGATCGAGAACGAGATATACTTTTATGAATTGCAAAAAAAAAAAAAATTAACCATATATATATATAAAAGTAGATCAATCGAATCTTGACGATATATATACGGTGGTTTGTATAAAAAAAGAAAGAAAAAATTAAAAAATTCCCCTCAGGGATTCGATTGATCTACTTTTTCTTTTTCTTTCTTAGGTAGAGAGACCTTGCGCTTAATAACACTTTAAACAGCAAACAAGATCGAGAGAACTAGAGAAACAATATTCTGCGTACTTTGAAAATATTTCATCACTGACCACATACTTTTGTAAGAATGTCGCGATCGTCCCTTGCCACAAAATTCGGACTCTTTCCTTTCTCTTTGTGTTCCCTTGGCATGATGGCTTCCTCCAGCCAAGAATTCCTTTGGACTGACGAACGATAGTGATTGGTTCTACGAACTTGTACATAAGCACATAAATCTGCCGTTCTCGTGAGTCAGTATCTGACTCGTTTTGAAAGTTCATACACGTGTACCTATGCAATGTTGTGCTAGGAGAGTATCCAATGATATCCTGAGGATCATTTGCTGCGGTAATCAGGCTTCTATAAAAGTTGTGATTTTGTATTTCACGTAGAGATCTTGTCAAACTACCAAACAAACCTGAACTTTTTAACTTGCTAACGTTACTTTAAAAATTACGTCGAAAATGTCAAACTTTCAAATAAAAAAATTAAAGATTTGAATCAGAGACATGGCTAATTTGTTTCTTCTCGTGTCGAGATCATGTTCATCATTTACACTCGTGAAAATTGTTGAAAATTAGGCGAAAGAGAAAGAGACACAGAGTTCAAAAACAATTGTAATATTTAGAGTATAAATTATTTTAATAAGATCCTTGTAAAATTTCGGAAGAAAGTGAAATGCATTTTCGCTGACAATGAGAAAGAAAATTTCAAAAAAATTTGCCAAAAGATCTACACGAGATGAAAAACACGTTTCGAACATTTTCATTGCCGTGCACGTACTTAAGTTAACAAAATCGCTCGTTCAACGCTCATGTTGATAGAATGTGCAATTATGACACATAGAATAGCAGAGAATACGTATGAAATATGTCAGATAAGCGATTACAGTTACATCAAGTGCACGCGTGTGTCACGATCATGAGAGAACCTTCCTGGTATGTTCCTCTTTTCTACGGTGTGCACAGTCGTCATTTCCCGGTTGTGAGAGAGAACATAATGGACCGTGTTCCGGTCGCGATGACGCTACCTCCCACGCCGAAGGAACGAACAAAGATCTCGTAATCTGATTTTTCCAGCTTATATCTCTCGATCCAATACACACAATCGTTTGATTGTATTTAACTCATTTATGTTTAGCTCGTGCAATGTTTACGACGTTTAATTGTAACATAAGTGACGATGTTTCGTTCCTTTTTTAAAATTTTATTTTTAAGCGCGAGACAATGTTTCGTTCTTTTTTTTTTAATTTTATTTTTAACAATGCTTCGTTCTTTTTTTTAAATTTTATCTTTAACAATGTTTCGTTCTTTTTTTTAAATTTTATTTTTAACAGTGTTTCGTTCTTTTTTTTAAATTTTATCTTTAACAATGTTTCGTTCTTTTTTTTAAATTTTATTTTTAACAATGTTTCGTTCTTTTTTTTAAATTTTATTTTTAACAGTGTTTCGTTCTTTTTTTTAAATTTTATCTTTAACAATGTTTCGTTCTTTTTTTTAAATTTTATTTTTAACAATGTTTCGTTCTTTTTTTTAAATTTTATCTTTAACAATGTTTCGTTCTTTTTTTTAAATTTTATTTTTAAGCTCGAGACTGTTCCAAAATAGGTTATTATATATATATCTGCACGATACTTGGTTCGTAGGAATCTAGTTTTCTAAATCTTGCATTTATTTATCAGTTATCGCTGTCAGAAATGTGACAGATAATAAATCGTTATTTAAATTAATTGTGGAATAAAAATCTCCTTCTTCTCAATACTTGCTCAGTATTTCATATTTGTTTATTTACACAGCGAATAAATTAGAATTTTAAGTGATGAACTTGGAATTTTAGAACTTGAATGACATACATTATGGAATAATTTAGCAAATTTAGCAATGAGATTAGACGTCTATAAAAGAAGACATTTTTTTATTAAAGCAGTAATGAGTAAAATGTTATAGTTCTATCGTCATCAGATGTTGAAAAATCATTGTCCGTACCGTTCGTTAAGCTGATACAATTACCATATTTCGTAACGATAGACTTTCAAATATTTTCTTAACGCAAGATGCCGATAACCAGTTAGGTAATCAGTTCCTTCCGTTAAAGTTTATGATACAATCGTCCGTCGACATCTGCAAGTTACAACACACGATCATTTTTTTTTTTTTTTTGTTCTTTTTTTCAATATTACCATTGAAACATTCGAATTTTAATCTTTTAGAGATAAGTGAAGAGGTAAGGAAGATAATTGACACAAGAAAAAAAAAAAAAAAATGACGTAATAATTCCTACACTTTCAATTTCCATGAAATTCTACTCCATGATGTTTTCTTTGAAATGATTCATTAATCTTCTGTTGTTGGTCATTCTTAAGAAAACTAAGATTTCTGATTTCCAAGAGACAAACTTGAACGAAGTCGTTCTCAGACAGGCAACCAAGATAATACTTCTTGTCAAATAGTAGAAAATTTGTACCTTGACATGAGTAGGAATTCGAATCACATTTCAGTAGTGAAAGTTTAATCGACAACTCCACAACAGACAAAATTACTTGTCTTCGATACACAATGTTACAATAAATGCACATTTCCCGCTACAGAAATTAAAGTAATGCAAGATTAAATATAACTTGCAACTTGGAAAATAAGTTCCAATCGACATTCATGTTTCATGATTCTCCAGAGATATTCCACCAGCATTTCTTAATATTTTACATAATTTATTACACTGTAATAAGTATAGAAGATAAACTGAAACTTATGTATTTCGAAATTCATCGCAGTCATCAGTGTACGCATTTACGTATGTTTTATGTACACATGTACTTACGCGTGACGTTATCAAATGGATATGCTCTAATTCGACAGTAATGCCATGCCACGGAGCCAATCAACCTCTTAAACAATCCTTAATAATCCCGACTATTGTCGAGCAATTGAAGAGGTCAGTTCAATATAACTAGTACATTTACCTGCGTAAAGGAATCGGTGAACATAAGTGCTCTAATTAGCGCTGAACAAGCTGAAAAATGCCCGCGAGTTATCGAGTGGACTTTTACCACACAGATATTCAGTGATTTATAGTTGTGTTGTGATAAATGAAGTAATTCAATTATAATTATCAAATACATATATCAACGTCGTAAGGCCAGGACACAGTGTTGGAAAGTTTTAAATTTTTTATTCGACGATTTTGTACAATATTCGAAATAAAACGAGGATGGAACAATTTTACAATGAAGTGGAACGTGCGCGTATTTTTATTGAGCGTCGAAACAAAATTTAAAAATGTATATTTCATTCAGACAGAAGAAGCAATGACGACGTATGTGTATACGCGACCTGGTATTCTCTGAAATGATGTAATGCGACGACAGAGAAAAAAATAAAATAAAATAGATTTGACAAACCACAGTTGACGATACAACGACTTATTTATAAAATTCCTTATTTAATCTTCGAAATAAATAACAAAACGACAGGCGACATTTACAAATAACAATATTTGTGGAACAACATTAAATTAAGATAAACTGAATTATTTATGAAGAAATTAATTTACTGTTTCTAAGCGTGACTAAGTTGAACTGACCTCTTCAGTTGCTCGACAATAGTCGGGATTATTAAGGACTGTTTAAAAAAGTGCCATTTTTTATTTCATTGAGCAAAACCTAAATATCTACAGCTGGAATATTTGATCTTCATTGAGCAAATTTTATCACTTCGCTTCGCCGCGCTGAATTCTCTTGCCGGTCATTTGAAATAATTCTATTATTCACAGAGAATTATGCAAGCAAACTAAACCCGATACTTAATGGTTCAACGGTTTTTCCTCGTTCGAGAGATTGACAAGAGGCTGGAACTGACGTAGATCCTCAGCAAGTTTCTGCAACAACTCCTTGAACACATAGTTATCCGAGTTCTTTGCTATATAATAAAGAAACACCCAATCACCGTAGTGACATTCATTGGTGACCGTCAACACGTCCCACGGATTATATTTCCCAGGACAAGCCATCGAGAAGACCAACTTGTTGAAGAGTTCACTCCTGGTCGTGTCAGAAAAAAACAGTAAGTACATCAAACGTGAACATTGCAGATAATAAGATAATGATTTTTATAATGTGCGTGTGTTTTTTTTGTTTTTTTATATTATCACATAACCAATATATTATTATAACCGATGTATTAGAACTGTATCAGATCGATTGTACGAGTTCAAAGAATCGAGATTCTGCGAAAGCTTATGGTCGATAAACCACGGAATGGTAGTAGAATAGTAGGCAATAAAAAGATAGTAATAACCTGGCGTGCAAAATCATGGTCAGTATCCTCCAAAGCAATCCTAAACCGGTTATCACCGCTAGAATGATGAACCAATACCAGAGAAATATATAAATCTTCTCGTTAACGACATTCAGCGCCATGATACACAGCGCGTCGTGATTTTGTATGGTTCCCGATGGTCCGTATTTGTGGAAGATGCATTTAGTCACCTGAAATGTTTGTTCGAGAAGCGTTTTTATTTATTTAAGGGGCAGATCCCCGAAGGAGAAGTGACGAGAAAAGAAATTGAAAGGAAAGATAAAATGGTCGATGGTGGTTCTCTCCTCAATTTGTTTAAGCAATTTGCAATAGAATTGCGAACCCAAGATGAGACTTTCATCATGGGGAAACAACGTACTTTGGGGAAAACGACGTCGAGCGCGTCGACTTTCCCATCGAGGCCATCGTGCGCTACCGCTTGGCCAAGACCCAGGAAAGCACCGCCGAGGAACCAATCGGTGAAATAAATTTGCACGAGGACGTTGATGAAGTTGAGAACCTCGCAGAGTCCCAAGTAATACGCCCACGGCCGGTTCAAGTGGATACGGTTCAGGAAAGCGTGTCGCATCTGAAGTATTTTCTCGTTGCGATCATCCTTCGACGGGATAGTTATACCGTTCTCGGTCTTCAAAGGTGTCTCGTGGATGGCCAACGACGCCATGTGTAATCCGGATACCAACGCTTTCAGCCGACCTCCTGGCTCAACAAATTTATCCCTTTTAACTTTTCTCTACGTTGTATTAGTTTCATTTCCTCCATTTTTCACGACGTGAAACCTCTCTATCGTTCGTTTCAATTCCGTGACAATGAATTTTCACGTTCAACCACAATACGTGCACACACATATAATTAGGAAATAATTCACGCGACTGCTATACTGCAGACATCATTGTAAAACGAATTTTGCAACCAAGCGGTCGTAAAGAAAGAACGAAGCTGAAAGAGCCACTGGTAGAAAATTAGTTTCTTTCTAGCTATGTAGAAGGAGGACAGCCAGGGAACTAAAAGAGTGTGTACTACGCGTGCAAAAGTATGCAGGATGAGTTGGTAGGTATTATAGCGGGACTGACCTTCAACATTCCTCCACAGGTAGTGCGGCGCGTAAAAGAGGATCGCCTGAAAAAACAGAACGAAAGGCACCCACTGGTAGTAGGCATGGTGCACCACGAAGTCTCCTGAGGATGCTGGCCCCACACCAGGATGCGGAATTTCGCCTGACTCCACCGCCGACGCGTTCAAGTGTTTCGCCTGTAAAATTTGCGATATTTGTTAGAAAATTCCCATTCAACATTCAACAGATCGTTCCTCGCAATCTCGAAAGGAAAAGAAAATGTATTATTTAATTCGTTGAGAATCAAACGTGTTCATTGGGCTGTGAAAGATTATTTTTTCTAATGATTGTTGTTGTTAATATTTACCACGGTGTACGTAGACGTAAAAAAGCAGTAGGTGTTGATTACTTTCACCACGTCGTCGCTCATTCCATGCCCGGCGATGCACCTTATCCATAAAACGTCGAGTATTATCTATTTTATTAACACTTTTTAATTGACAGATACTCTTATTATCTAATGGGTCATGGATCTTTATTACTTGAAATCTGCGAAGTTTGTGAAACTTGCAAAGTTTCGTTTCATCCAATGAATAACTAGTAAATGTTCGTCTAATTAGTTTAAATTTAAATGATTTTGGACTTTTAACAATTACATTTTTCCTATAATTTTAATGAAAGAAAAATTATTTGTTCATCTTTATTTAACGTTCTTCTTTTAAGAATAAACGAGAAACAACATATACGAATGCTTAACGTTCCTGTCGACTGGCAAAGATAAGCATCTTATTATTTTCAAGTCGAAGATTATCGAAACTAGAGGACAAAACCAATATCTTCACTTTAGTACATACTAGCTGATAACACTTACGACGAAAACACGATAAAAAAAAAGTATTAGTAACTAAACAATAGTAACTAAAAGTAAATTAATATAATGTCAAAGATGGGGGCATAATCCACATTTTATTAATAATATCGCAACAATACCTGATATGTTCTCCAATAAATTGTTTAGAAGTCACCAGCAACGTGCTGATCAAAAGTATCAGAAACGTGACTCTGTAGTGCAGCTTGAAAACTAATGGGATTTAAGAAAAGTATTCGTAACAATTTTAATTCGTTTAAACGAAATAATAATGAAATTAACGAATAGACTGCGAATTATGAGAAATCTAAAGGTACAAGAATACACAGAAATTTAGTCTATTAATCAAACAATAATCTAAAATTAGAAAATGTTTCAATTTCCTTTTCGCGGAGGAAATATCTTTGTATGTGTCACCATTTTTATTACCCATGTTATCAATGGCTATCGTATCCTGCGTAACCTTCAACTTGACATGGTCCTTAAGGACCGAGAACGTGGCTAAAAGAGAGGCCATCTCTTAGTAATCCTTAATCACTTAGGATCACAAGCCTCTCCATTCGTTTTCACAAAAAAATTCTTCGTTGATTCGCCCTCTTGGCTACCTTCAGTTCTACTACATTTACTTTTCTTCGAATATTTTGAACATACAACAGGAAAGAGGAAACATACAACTCAAAAGTCGCGGCGAGAAACTTTCCACAATACTAATGAAATGTTGATCGAATTCAGACTGAACCTTCGATGCTAGTAAATCTTGTTTTTTCTCTTATCAACAGCTACGATTGCGCAGTGGCATTGTGAGCGACAACGCTTCGTGAAACACATAGGCTTGTAACTATAACGCTCAGTAAAGTAAGACTTGGTCGCTTATTCGCTTAGATAAGACGAGATAACATCAAACTCGTACAAGTGATTTAACAAGGGACACAATTACCAGCATGCAATTATTTTATCAAGAATGCGTGTGGTCCCTGATTGATCGATCGATCGACCCAAGTTGATCCTTCAAGAAGTAAATGCTTGATACTTGTTCGTGATTTGAGAACGAAAGTGTGGATTAAGTCACATTTTTTTTTTTTCTGGACGATTAATCATGCCAGTGAAGGATTCACGTTCGTTCAGATAATGCAATTAAATACACGAATGGCGAGTTATTTAGCTAGCGTGTTGAAGTCAGTTTCTTTATGCACAGTTTGAGGAACGTTTGAAATTTCTTGAGTTTTATCTTGTCGCTCTAAACAATGGGCTACATTTCGTACAACTATCTAAAGTTGAAGACCTTTCTGTAACTGTCACTCTAATAAATCCTGAAGATCCTTATCAGAATGAAATATCTATTGGGTTTTTTCCAGACGTATGTAACGATGACTATGTCACTATGAGTTCTGTAAAATTTACATTTGGATCATCTTAAAAAAAGGAACAGTCCAAAAGTTGAATGCTTTTTTTTTTTCTTTATTCTAAAATAGAAACGTTCCTGCAACGTGAATATTAACACGCGCTTTATGACTTTTAAACGACTGACTTAACTATAACAGCACGATCGTATAGCGCTCTCGTTAATCGCCGATCCAGATGATCGCGTAGTTCGCCAGTAAAAGTTACGAAACGAATCATCGTTGATCTATATCAAGCCGATGATTTCACGGCAATCGCTTTGAGTACAATCACGATGAGCAATTGATAATTGTATTTTATCGCGAGTTTTCTTTTCTTCGTTCAGAAATATGACGTTATCATTCTTCACTAGAAAATCTGAATTCAATTGTTCATTAGAATTAAGTTCAATTTAATTAATTTTGGAAAGAATTATTCCACGAAATGTCACTGTATTCGTAAGAAATAATATTCTGCAAATGGCCAATTGGCGCATTGAATCGAGCAGATATAGGAACGATACGTAAGATTTAATATTTCAAGAAAAAAAAAAAAAAAAAGAGTGGAACGAATGAACGAACATTCGAAATTAGGAAGGCGTGCCAGAGAAGATAGGAAAGGTAAATGTAAGAGAAGGGGAAAAAAAAAGAGGGGAAAGACCAAATAAGATAAGAGGAGACGAAAGGGAACAAGTTTAAGGTGGAAGAGAACTAAAGCTGCAAGGAAAGAAGAAACGGTGAACAAGAAAGACAGAAAGCAAAGAGGTAGGGGGGATAGAATGTCGAAGGTAGGACTTTGACCGGCCGTTGCCCCTGATGCAGTCGCCTGAAGTCAGCAATCTGAACGGATCCTCCAAAGGAAATTCTGTCTCCTGACTTCTCCATTCGTACCCACTTCACTTACAACCATTATACATTCAGCTCCACCATTCTTGACCTATTTGTTTACCTGTCTACCTGTCTGTTCATTTGCAATATGTCGCGACACAATCTCTAATTTTACTGCATAACGAATGGTACTGAATATTGCATTGCCATTTGTAAATTTTTATCTTCTTTCTTTCGGACATTTAGAATAGGCAATTACGCGTGAAAAAGGAACCTAACGAAAATAGAATTCATAACGTTAAATTCTTCATATTTTAACACATGTAGATATGATTCGACAATTCTTCTCTCTTCGTTCGTGTTCGAAATTTCAACAAATTTAAACACCGTTACTAAATATGATTTTCATTTTTATGAGAGATATATAGTGTATTACTTTTTTCTGTATGAAAAACGTTCAACATACACAAAGGAATTTAATTTAAAAGAGCAATTATGGAAACAGTTGAAGGATCGATCCAGGATGATTCGCAGACGCACATAATAGCTCGGTTTAACATTAAGGCTTTGAATTACTAATCGGTAAAATGAGAATAATCTTCGTGTCCCCTGTTGCAATAACGCGAACAGAGGGAACCGAAATTGGTTGGACCTCGAGAGTAGAGATTCGTTTCGATGATCGCCAATCTCGAAGCAGTGCACATGCACAACGACACTCCGCCCCGTGGAGACCGCATAGTTCCATCGATAGAAATCATGCAAGGACATGACAGTTTATGAACACGGAACAATACTTTTACGTATGAAATACAATTGATACTAAATTCTTACCAAAATATTTAAACGAATTACTCTATAATTTATATTTAAACGAATTATTCTATAATTTGTATTTAACTTATATTTTTTTAAACGAATTACTCTATAATTTATTTTTAGTAAAATAATAAAAATCGTCGTAATTGAACAATCTGCAAAATGTCAAATTATTTAGATCGCTTTTTTATTATTTATAACTAGCGTTACCTGGATAAAAGATATTAACTTTCTCGATCTAAAAAGTTAATAATAATAAACAGAGAACTATTAAAAGATAAGTCTTACAAACATAGAAATTAATTAAGATTATCGCTATCTTTAATATGCTTCTTTTTTTCTCTGTGAACAATTTTACTTACTTAGCCATAACCTTCAACATAAAATTAACCAAAGCAACATACACGACGAAAGGAGACACAATCTTGAATGAACTCAGGAATCATGGAAATCACTGGTTACTCGCTGACATTTTATTTGTTCAATTTCATAGAACACTCTTACGAAAGTATAGGATTATTTTGGCAGTACATTGTCAATCCTTGAAACATGATGAAAATACGTATATATATATATATATACATATATACGCACGAATATACACACATGTATATGTATAAAGAAAGATAATTCACAAACGAAATGCAGGCTATTTTTCCCTCCAACAAGAAATTTTACAAAAACGCAACTTTCTGTCGCAGGAGCGAGAACACATTTTTCCTTATTATTATAGTAAGTAATAATTATTATTATCATCAACGAGCAAAGAATAGATTAATAATAAGGAAAGAAAAATAACGCATCGATTAACATTACTAATCAATTATCACTCATTCCTCCAGCAAATCTTATCTAGCTGGGATCTTTATAATTCTATATATATATATATTTTTCTTCACATATATAATTGTTTCTCATATCTTATCGCTTCTACAGGCAGAGGATGCACGTACACACAACGTACAAACACGATGACAGGTATATTACGTTCTTCCTCTAAGCAGCATGGACATTCATTAGAATAGAACAATGCATCGATGCTCTATTACTAATCTACGTATGCAATTTCATCACTCATTACACCATATACATATGAAATAGGCACTTTTCTTCCTTCCTCTCGATTATTTTATAATAATAATTTTAGCGTTAATCTCTAGTGCTCTCTAATTAATCCCTAGTCTTATTGTATTTAACACGTTCCATGCGCCACATGTTCAAAAGGCAAAATGGTCCTTCCGTACGTAAATTTAGGGGGCGAACAATACTTATTGTGCGTCGATTTAACATTTCATAAGTAACACTTCATTAGATAAAAATAGAAATTTTAGTAATATACAATATTATATTAATTTTAATAATATATAATATTAATATTGATCACTTGTGCGTTCCAGAGATATTGTTGTACGTTTAATACGTTTAATACTTTATTACTAATTCATTTATGAATGATTGATGAACCACGTAGCAAGGAACGTGTCAATTAGTTATAACTTTCGGAATGCACTTCGCTCTTCGTGGAAGTTTAATTAAATACTCGATATTCAAACTTGAAAGGCACTGGATATAAAATACAGCGTCTTTTGATTCTTCGACTTCCATCGGATTACCGTGTATGATGTTAAGTGTTTTAACGAGAAAGAAAAAAAGAAAAAAAAAAAAGAATAAATTGCAGAATTCGTTTCTTATTCTTAATTTCTCAGGATCAGAAAGTTAAATATGTGTCAATGTGTACGTATGTGCGATTAAAATTATTAAAATTATCAATATAAAAAAATTAACGGAAGAAAACTGAAGAAGTATAAGGAAAAGGAACAAACACCTATGGGAATATATTATGCGAATGAAATTGATCGAAATCGGAAAGAAAACACTGGCATGAAGCAAGGGAGAAGGAAATATATATATATATATATAAAACACATTTATACATATAATATATAATTATATATATATATATTTATACATATAACATATAATTTTATATATATATGTATATATTTATACATATAATATATAATTATATATATATATATATATATATAATAAGTGTAATGAGAAAAAGTTCTAAATTCTACTCACGTGTACAATCCTAAATAGATACAAAATACAAGAATCACGATAATATGGAGTGTTTCGATTTCTTGGCAGTCTTACTTTGAGCATGGATCTCTCAAGAAGAATTATATATTTCTACATTTGAGAATCGATATGCGAAAAACAATTCTCTGAACTCTCGCGCATTTTCCATTTTTTCCCCTCTAAATCCTTACCAGCTAAACATACATTATTTTTATTGTCTTTTATTTCTTCTTAAAATAATCTTCTCCTAGTGTCTTCTTCTTTTTTCCCTTTAGAATTTTTCTCCGGTTTCATATAGAGGACGGTATTGACAATGATTCCGGCAGTAACAATAATTTCGAACGGGAAAGGCAGGATCGGTGGACGAAGCAAAAATAGCATTGATAAACGACGGAAAAAGAGAAAATCTCCATATGTTCATCAATATTGCCTTTCAGACTTTTTTTTTCCATCGCTTTTTTTTTTCTCTCTTTTGGTCCCTCGACGTATATTAACATATACATACATATATATATATATATATATATATATATATAAATGTATATAACATTCTAATTATCGCAATGATGAGTTGAAAGTATTAATGAAGAAAAAGTAAGCGAGAATAGACGTACAAAAGAAATTTTCCGTAGCAGTTTCTAAACTATATTTGCAAGGGTACTGTTTTCCTCTCACTCGATCTCATTCATTCTCTCTCATTCTCTCTCTTTCTCTCGCGCGTGATCTTTCCCTCTTTTCCTCCACTTCTCGTTTATTGCATTCTCTCTCTCTCTCTCTCTCTATATATATATATATAGATATTTATATATATAATATAAATTTATATATTCTCTATTTTATAAGATACTCTACAATGTACAAGATGTACGAGTCCTATGCTATATGAAAGAAATAATAATAATATGGTAAACAGCGAAATTATATTTCTAGGAAGACGACACGTCGTTTGATTGTCAAAAGGAAAGGGGAGGGCGTGGTAAGGGGTCATTTATGACAGATCTGCACAACCTGATTTTTAGTACTTTCTCTCTCTCGTGCATTGTTTCATCCAACAATGAAAGAAAAAAATAATAAAAAAAAAAAAGGAAAGATCGAAGGAAGCATCCGTTCGAAACAAATGGAAAAAAAGCAAATAACACGTTTGTTCTAAAAAAAAAAAAAAAAAAAAAAAAACAAAAAA